GCTCCTGACCCAAGCCATGGTATTTTCAATTGCCTCATACGCATGCAAAAGCTGGACAATGAATAAGGAAGACCAAAGAAGAACTGATGCCTTTGAATTATGGTGTTGGCAAAGAATATTGAATATACCATGGACTGCCAGAAGAAGGAACAACCTGTCTTGGAAGAAGTACAGCCAGAATGCTCCTTAGCGTGAAGATGGCGAGACTTCACTTCACATACTTTGGACATGTTATCAGGAGGGACCAGTCCCTGGAGAAGGACATCATGCTTGGTAGAGGGTCAGCAAAAAAGAGGAAGACCCTTAACGAGATGGATTGACACAATGGCTGCAACAATGGGCTCAAACATAGCGAGGATTGTGAGGATGGCGCAGGACCGGGCAGTGTTTCCCTCTGTTGTACAGGGGTTGCTATGAGTCGGCATCTACTTGAAGGCACCTAACAACAACAATCTAGTAGGGAGAGAGACAAGGATCAAATCATTACTGACACAAATGCAGTTGCAAGTAAGACCAGAGTTTTAAAGGAAAGACCCCAAGAGCTAAGACAGCCCAAGATGGAGGGGCGAAAGGTTGACAATCTGAGTGGAGGGATGCTTGAGGATGGAGTCACTGGGTGAATGGCGCTAGGGTGGAGCTGTGGGAGAAAACTCCTTGTGCAGAGGCTTGTTGTGAGAGGGTTCATATAAAGAACCGGGAGAAGACCAGGGGGCCTGAGGAAGTCTTCAGGGTTAGGCCATTTCCAGGCATTGTGAGTCACGGTAAGAGAAGTCATTGAAGTTTTTTTTTTTTTTTTTTTTTGGAGGGGGGGCGGTGCTGAGGGGGCTGCCAGAGAGAGAGAGAGAGAGAGAAATTATCAGCTTTAACAGAATATGGGTCAATGCATCCTTCAAGGCATAGATAAAAATGACACCTCCTCCTCCAAGCCTTCCCTGATTTCTCCCACATTTGCCCTATGCTATTGCTCCCTCCTTCTTTGGCCTATGCAGCCTGGGTAGAGAAACTCAAGCTTTCCAGGCAGGCAGCCCTGGGCCTCAGTTTCCCCAGCTGTACAGAAGCAGGTTGTCTCGCAGGTCCCGCCCAGTGCTAACGCAACGTGATTCGCTCTGGCAGGAGCGAGGGGCTGCCCGCATTGCTGCGCAGGAATCCGGGCTGCTGGCTGGGACACCACCATCGGGCTGCGGACGCTTTCCCCGCTTGGGGGCTGCGTGCGCTGGTCGCCGCGCTCCAGCCTGCGCAGGAGAGTGGAGGCGCGACCCCCTGCTCTGGCTGGCAAGCGCGGCCCCGCCCCCGCTGCCGGCGGCCCTGCGGCAGCCCGGGGCAGGAGCTCCGCCCTCCGCCTCCCGCCGCCTCTTTCTCTCCTCCCCCCTCCCTCGCGCTCTCGCTCGCTCCCTCCCCCCGGGCCGGCTCGGCACTGACTCCGCTGCACGCTGCAGCCGCGGCTGGAAGATGGCGGGGAACGACTGCGGTGCGCTGCTGGACGAAGAGCTCTCCTCCTTCTTCCTCAACTATCTCGCAGACACACAGGTACGGCCGGCCAGGGCCCGGGTAGGGGCTCATGAGCTGCGCGGGCTGCCGCCGTAACCGCGGAGGCGGGGATGCAGAGGTGGGCATACTGGGGTATCGGCGGTTCCAGGCTGCAGAGCCCCCCTTCCATGAGCCCTGTGATGCGCTCCCATACGGGGGCAGGGACCTGGGGTCCCCCTGCGCTTCCCGAAGAGCTGGGGGCGCTATAGTCATTGGGGGAGGGTCTAGCTTTGGCCACTTGGAGTCTGCCCCCCCTTGGGTAGACTGGGGGTACCGCGCTTCCTTGGGGGAATGGAGCCGCGCCAAGATGTGGGGGACCCTAGGGCTGGCGCTAGGCGCTGGAGGCGCGCCCTTAGCGCCCGGCACTTGCTACCGTAGTTTCACGTGGACTTGTGGCCCCGGCACGGGTGCCTCCCCGAGTCTCCGGAGCCCCCTCGTCCTGAAGCCTCCGGTTCCCCGAGTGCTGCTGCTGCCCCCCCCCCGCCCCCGGCTCCCCAGCGGCGCCCGCAGCGCGGAGTTTCCTGTCAGTTACCGACTATAGGCATGGGGGTCTGCGGGGCACGTGGACATGCGGGCGGGTATAGCGCCTTCCTGGTTTCGCTATTCAGCGGAGCCCCGGGGGGAAAGCACAGCAGGATGGGGGAAAGAGGATTGTCTGGGGGCTTCTGGGTCCCCCTGATGCGCGCGGCCCTGGTGCGCGCTCGGTGCTGCAGGGGGAAGGGAAGGCGAGGCGGCGTCCCGGGCTCTGGCTGCGCCTGGGAGCCCCGCCGACTACACGCGCGTGACAGGAGAGGGTGCTCTGGTGTGCCGGGGAGGGCCAGGGAAGCTGGTGGCTTGGAGACAAGGGGTTGCTGCTGGGACAAGCAGCCGCCGAAAATGCTTGCACGGGGTGGGGGGTGCGTCTCCCACCCTTCCCCCATTTTCCCCACCTCATGCCTGTTGCAAGCGTAAAGTTTGGCCCCAGAGTTAGGGCTTTTTCTCTGGGCGCCTGGCTGCGGGTCTCCGGGAGGCTGGGGATGCGACCGAGCGGGGGAGGAGATCTCGGATGCGGGCGCACGCCTGGGCTCGGAGAGGGGCCGCCGCACGGAACCGGGCGCGGCTCGCCAGGGTTGGTTTGGTACCTGGAGTGGCGGTGCCGGTGCCGGCTCGTTTTGCATAACACGGGGTGGGAGGGGGAAACAGGGAGAGGGAAACTTTGCTTCTTGTTATAATCTGCCTGTCTTTGGGCGGCAGCAGCTGTCATGGGACCGGGTGGGCGGGGAGAAGCTTGCAAGCTGACTCCTTGCGGTGAAACGCGACTTGGAGGGGACGTAGCGGCCGAGACGTTCAGCTCCGGGCGGACTCCGAGTGGCGACTCCGGGCTGGCGACTGGGACGGCGCAGCGTGGCGGGGTGTCGCCGAGAAGAAGCCCGCCACAAGCCGGAGAAGGCCGGCCCTCATCCGCAGCAGACTCGGCTGCGTCGGGGAGCCGCGGGGCGGTGTGGTCGGTTGCGGGCGCACTCCTGTGGGTTCAGGGTAGGGGCCAAAGGGGCAGGTGGCTTGTGATTGCTTTGCGAGGCTGGCGGGAGTGTAGTGTGCGGGCTGTGCGCGCGGGTATCTGTGTGCACACGCCGCGCGCGCCGGGCGCGTACCTTTACCTCTGACGAAACTGCGGTGGAGCTCCCGCCGCCGTCACCGGGTGCGGTCACACGCCCCACGCCGGCGTCTGCGCCGAAGGCCAGTCTCAGCCCCAGCGCCTCTGGATCCGACAGCCTGGGGCCAGGGTTACTTGGTCCGGGCAGGGCAGAGCTGCCTCTGGGAAAGAGCTGTCCAGAGCACTCGTACTAGGGGCGTCACCAAACCTCTTGGCTAAGAGGCGGTTGAGGGAGGCCTGAAATAGCCCCGAGACTAGTTAAGGGACCCATAGCAAGAATTGTCGGCGCTAGATCTGATCCTGGGTTTTAACTACATCTTCAGTGTTCTGTGGCTCACCAATAATTAATCATTTGTTTTTTTAGCCGCCCAGCGGGCCTGCCTAGCAGGGATATTTCACCCAAGGAAACTAGAAGATTGGGTAATCAGGTATCAGCAGAGGCAATGCAGTGAAAGTTAATCTGGGACGTTTGCTTTTTTTATTTAACCACGTGACAGGCCGAGGATCTCCTGGTGATCTTTGCCGGTCCAACTTGGGAAATGTAACTGATACGGCGAGCTTTGCAGCCGCCCCTAGAAGGCTCATCGTGCCGAGCCGGAAAAGGACCTGGGCGGGTCATCGCGTGCCTCCTCATTTTACGGTTGGGGAAAGAGGCTGCGAGGGGTGAGTGGTTTGTACAGGACCATGCAGCCAGCGGGTGACAGAGCCACCCAGGGCTCCTGACTCCAGGTCCTGTGTGTTACCTCGAAATAGCACTGGACTTGGAGTCAGAAGGCCTGAGTGGAGTCGCCTTCCCCACTCTCTGGCTGGGTGACCCGGGGCAAGCCATTTGAACTCTTTGAGCCTCATTTCTTCATCTGTCAAATGGGGCTGGTGGTGGCAGCATGAGAATCCAGTGGCATGGTGGCGGGGTGAGCACTGTTTGCATGTGAGTTGTCTGCTTGTTCCTGCAATCCCCTCTCCTCGATCAGCTGGTCCCTGCCCTCCCCTCCTCCTCCACCTTCAGTGTGTCGGCCTAGCCCCTTTGGGGTGGGGGGAGTGGTTGAAATGGTAATTCAGTGTCTTTGTCCAAAAGACTCGTTAACTTTGGTGGCTAATCGAGGGTTAGATAGAGGGAGTACTTCTGTTTAGGAGACTTAACTTTTACCCATTCAGGCCAAAGTACAGAAATTCCCCCAAAACAAGGATTGTGAAAGGTTTGGGGCATGTATCCCAAAGGACTTTGGGTTTGCTTCATCTTTGCTCAGGCTGTGCTCCTTGCCTGGAGAGCCCTCATCCACCCGTCCTGCATGGCTTTCTTTCTCCAGTGGGCCTTCCCAGCCTGGCCTGCCCTGCTTTCTCCGTCCTCTGGTTTTCTTAGTCTGTTATACAACCAAGCACTTGTATATAAGTCTGGTGTCCTAGTAAGATTCTAGAGCTAGAGTTGGGCCTTTTATCTCTTTGTGCCTGCATGGCACCTGCCACCATGCTGAGCCTCGTTCCTTTGCTCAGACCTTGGCTAGGGACATGGATTACAAACAGTACAGCTGGGCCCTGCCCTGCAGAAAGAAGCTTCCAGGCTGGCAGGGGAGACAGCTGGGCCACAAGTGTGGGGACAGAGGAATGCAGAGGGCTGCAGCTGTGGGCAAAGACTTAGGCTCCAAAGGCCACGCAGTAAGCCCACACTAAATATGGGTTGTTTGAAGTTGCTTGGGACATCAATCATAGATGCCCAAAATGTCAGAGCTGGCAGGAACTTTATAAATCATCTGCTTTAACCCCTTATCATTAAAAAACTTACTTATAAAAGTGTTAGAAAATACTGGCAAATATAAAGAAGAAAATTAAAAATAGGCATTAACCACTGTTAATGTTCATATATGCTCCTAGGCTTTTTTCTTTCTTAGCAATTCATATAGATTACATCTTTCTTACAAAAATGGAATTGTTCTGTATATACTAATTTGTTACTTGGAATCACATTGTTTTGTAACTTGCTTTTTTTCACCTCCAAACAATATACTGTGAATACATTTCCACATCAGTAAATACTCTATTATTTTAATGGCTGCATCTTTGAGGGTTGAACCAAAATGTATTTAATCAATCCTTTATTGTTAGTCATTTAAGTTGTTTCCAATTTTTCTCTTTGGCTATTGTAAGCAATGCTGAAATGAATATATTTGTGCACATCTTATTTCCTTCATTGAAATTCCTAGAAGTGAGCTTGCTCTGTCAAAGGAACTGTACAGGCATTTGGTAAACACATTTCTGGATTGCCTTCTAGAAACTGTGCTAATTTACACACTCACCAGCATTGTGTGGGAATGCCTGGTTGTCCATGTCCAGATAGCTCTTGGCTTTTTCATTGTTTTTAATTTTTTGCTGCTCTGTTCATCAATAAATTGTGTTGCCCTTATTGTTTTAACGTGCATTTCTTTGATTATCGTTGGTGCTGAACCTTTTCTCCATATGATTATGGGCCTTTTGTGGTTTGTTCAATGAAGTGCCATGTTTGTGAACTTGGCCCATTTTGCAATTGGTGTCCAGCTCCTCATTGTTCTACAGCTAGATCTGAGCACCTGGAAGGGGCCCCTGCCACATGGAGAACTGGGAAAATGACTTGATGTCCCAGTGTTTAGTTGCTCAGTCTGGAATATTGCTGCCTCCACAGCCCTTGAGACCAGGGTCAACTTCTTTTCCAAGTCAAAGTTCCAGTCATCTGCAGGAGTAAGTTGAAGGGCAACTTTTGCTGGGTGCATTTGCCCACCTTTTGCCTGTGTTGAGACCAGGGGGAGTAATTTCTTTACCTGAGCCAGAAGGGGGCATGTTTACTGGCTTTGTTCACTAGAGGCCTAGGCTCTACTTTCTCTGGGGCCCCCTGGCTGGTGCTAATGAACGAATGGGATGCCTGTGAAACCCAGGAAAGGCAATGGCCCAGCAAGTGGGCCCAAGGGGCCTGTATTTCCCCCTCACCTAGAACCGTTCTCTCTGCAGCTGGTGCAGGACAGCCAGAAGCTCCACCATTGCCAGGATGTGAGTCACCCTTCTCCTTCTCTCTCTGGAATAATAGAAGGAACACTGGTTTGAATCAGAAGCAGCCTTGTAAATGGGGACTTGGAGCTTGGGAGTAAGGCCAAGAGCATTCTGGATAGTAGCTCTTTTTGCCTTCATCATCAATGATATTTATTTAGCATCCTCTACCTGACACTTACTCTGCTAAATCTTTCATTTGCGTTATCACATTTCATTCTTGAAAAATTCTACCAAGTGTAGGTGTTGCTGTTACCCCCATTTTACAGAGGAGGATTTTAGCGTTTTGGAGAACTCACTGAATTGCTGAAGACTGTCCCTTCGAGTAAGTGGTAGAGCCAGGATTAGTGGTTCA